GTCCATAATTGAAAAACCCTGTATATAATGGATAAAATGCCTGAAATAAAAGTTATGGTCTCTTCCATTCTCTGGTTCATACATTTTGCCGATCGGATTAATAGTTTTCGAGAAAATAATGTTTTTCTGGAAGTCAAAATGTTCCAAAAAAATTTTTCAAAAATTAAAAAAAAATGCTTTGCGAGATTTGAGTAAGTTGTTTTTCAACAGATGAAATGCGGGTGTCGACTTCTATCTTTCTGCCATATCTGAATTCCATAGCTGCAAATTAAAGGCACCTGTTAATTTGTGAATATAGCACTTAATATCTCGAATACCCTGCAAAACAGGTGAAAACATCAAATATAAAAGTTTTAGCTGCTTATGCGGGCTATGTTACCATGTAAAATGGATTGGCATCCGAGGCACGGTCTTTCAGTTATAGCAAATTTTCCATAATAGGGGGACCCATTTTTCGGTTTTTTTGAATTTGCGACGCACTCTGTTCATTTTTGAAAAACTTTCAAGAATAAAATTTTATGGAGCCGAATCTTATGCGTCTTCACATTCAAGAATTTTTTCAGTCGCGTAAACCATTTCCGAGAAATGATTTTTTTCTTAAACCCCTGCAAACGCGGTTTTTAATTTTTTTAAAATACCTCCCTACCCCTAACAGCCCCAATTTTAATAGATTTCGTTAGAGGTTCATTAAGTCGATAGCTTTAAATTTCGGACACTTATCGTGTTTCATAGCAACGTACAAAAAACAGTCGAAAATCGAAAAAAAAAAACAGATGAACGCCGAAAATTGAACGCAGCCATTTTTACATATCTTATGCACCCCATGGACGCTTAAAAAGGAGTCAAATTTGAAGCGTGTACTTCAAACCGTTCCGAAGTTATCGTCGAAAAATCCTGAACCAGAGAACAGAGAAACGGAGACCGGAGAAGGGACAGACAAAAACAAATTTTCTTCTACGCTGATCATTTCTGTACCAATCCTCCTCTAGGACCTACCATTACCGAGATCTCGAGTTTAGTGAGGAGCGCGTATATTTTCGAAAAGAATCGATTTCATCGATTTTTTTTTTTAGTACCTACCACATCAGAAATAAGTAGAAACGTCCGTTTCTACTCCGGACATTTTTATGGAAGGATAATAATTTGTTCAAATGGCTTGGGAATTCCAATATTGGAGGATAATGCAGGTGATAGGTGTCCAATACCAAAAAATCATAAGTATTACAAATACTATAAGGAGTTATGAAGGAAACTTATTCTTAGAATATTTTTGAGGCCTACATTTGTAAACTTATTAAAAAAGGTCTATTTTAGAATTTACCACAAAATCTATCACGTTTCGGAACAGCGAGACATTTGATATGTTTAGAAGAAGTGCCAGAAGAAGAGCTACCACACTTGGAAGTAGATATCGCAGATGACAGTAGAAATGAGGAGAGGAACCAAATAGCAAATATGCTTTTATAAAAAATAAAATATGTTCTTGAATTATTTCTCTTTTTTTTGTAATTCACATAAATGCAAAATTTTATTTCTTTCCTCCTGGATTTTCTCGCTTCTTTCAATGGCGTTTCGTAAGAGGTTCATTTCTTGTACTCGACCTTCCCCGATATTTGTCAGCCTGCTTTGTAGATAAAACATTCCACTCCTTGACAACCTAGTCTTTGTACTTCTAAAATGAAAACATGTATTATGTATTTCATCAACCTGGTGAATTTTCCTAGTAAATTCTACCCATTCCAGTTTTCCCTATATTGTCTTTGATGCCAGTGTAGTTTTTTTCAGATGTCTCCATTTCCTATCCAATATTTCTTCGATTTAGTGAAAATACATTCTATAAGTACCTTAAAATTGTATATCTATTTCATGTGAGTGTAATTTGCGTTTAAAAAAGATTACTGTTTGTGTGAAAAAACATACCTTGATACGATCTTCGAAAACTTGATAGGTTTTAGAGAAAATTTTCCCGTTGGGGCACTGAAAATTTATCGGGAGCGCTTTGCTACGTCCGCTGAATGCGACCAATGACATCCACTCACATAACCTATAAAACCAACTAACGAAATTAACGACAAACATTCAGGAATCTGACAAACTGACAAACTGTTTTCCCGAATAGGTAGAACAGAAAGCCCAGCTAAGAGTTGAATATGAACAATCCATAATTGATTGTTAAGCCCCAAGCATATGTTGACAAATGCACATGTTGTTCTTGCCAAAGTTGGTGGTATAATTTTTTATAATAACTCTTCATTTGGAAAAAAATTGCAAGTTCCATTTTCTTATTCGTCACCAAGGTTTCGCCCTCTAGCTGCCGTTCTAGGTACTTGGAAATAATTTCCATCAATTTCTCATACCCTTTTTTGTAATAGTTTTTTCCGCAGGCTACACTGTCAATGCTTCTCAAAACACAGCCGAAAATCGTTCTTACCGAGACTATAGAAAAAGGTGCACACCATCGGCGAATATACCAGCAATGCGAAGTCTATTAGCTGGTATATTTTTTCTAAATCAAATAGTTCGACACACTTTTTGTTTTTTTAAATAAATTGTTATTCAACTTTCATATGTTGTAAATGTTAAGCGCACAAATCTTGCAAGCACAAAATTGACAATTTTCAGTATTCGAAAAATAAAGTTTAAGTAGAAATATATAAATAGTTTTCTAGTACTCACTACATCTGAAATATGACTCGGGTGGTCTGAAAATTGTATTCATCATTTTTTGTGTATGTTGTAGTTCGGTATTCGATGAGTGGTTTAACGTCACTAATTCAATTTAAAAAAAAAATCACGTAACACATTTGTACGTTAGGTCATCGAAATGTTCTAATTCCAAAATTTTAGAGATATCGTTTGTATGGGTCCTTGCAGGTATTTTAAGTAATACCTAAAACAATAACTAAAAGGTATTCCCCTAAATATCTTTACCAAAAGTGTTTCGGTGTTGACAGGTATCGGTTTGACATTTTTTCGTGAGTGTTCATCTTTTTTTAGTTAAAATGGCTTAACGTTATTGGAACATGAGGGGTCGTAAAATTGCAACGATTTTTGCTATGAGAAGAACATTTATTAAATTACCTATTCAAGAAAAACAATGAAAAATATGGTTAAGACTCATTAAATGCAAACGTGAAGACCGCTTCAATGTAATTTATTATTATTATTGATTAAAAAATTTAAAAAAAAAGAAACTACTTTCCGGTTCAATAACAGACAACTAAATAGTAGCCTGACCTCACTTATTGTGTTTATATTGTCTTTTTTTAGTTGGAGCAGAATAAGGAAAACCATAATTGATGATGAGAATTCAAACAAGAATGAAAAAAAAAAACAAATGTGGATAACAATATAAATTGATGATTTAAATATCAGAATTGAAACATGGTTGCTTCTTAACATACTGTCAAAAATGACTCAGGTTTACTGCTACCTGCGCTCATTTGAGCAGAGCGTACACATTTCAAATGACTGAGGCACTCCAAAAATCGAAAATCCACATTATGGAGATAGTCTGATTCATACCTAAAAGGGGAGGACAATCTTTTACAGACAAAAATGTATTTATTGAAAAATCTCTATAACGGGAATGATTTTCCTCCTACGGGAGTACGGGAGGACTGGTGGCGAAATTGTTGTTGTCAGTGCATTAAAATGAATATGCAAGGGATGTACAAGGAGTTTAAAGGGGTTCAGTGTAAATCTTATTGAGTCTGCGACTGTTAATGCTATTCAAGTGAGCAAAGTACTCGTCATATCCGTCAAAGGCTCTAAAGAATAATTTTTTTCAAAAAATTAGTTATTTCTGTTACATGGTATAAAGAAATGGTGTTATAATAATAATAATCTTTATTTTCCAAATCGACAAACACAATGTTTGAAATTGCCAAAAGAAATAAAATAAAATGATGCATAATCTAAGACTAGAAACAATAATCTATAAACATGGCAGGAAAAAGACTAACTAAAGTACTTTTCTACTGAGTACAGGTATTTAATCACAGGAAATTCTTTTAATTTTTTTTAAATGCGCGTAAATTATCACACATTTTTTTCGGTAACAGGTTAAAAAATCGCACAACACTTACACTTGAGATTCTATAAGAACTACTCGTGAAAATTTCTGTTCAACACAAAACCTGATTTATTCTGAAACATATAAGCACATATTTCAAACGCGTAGACTATACAATATTCGAATATTAAGAAGTAGATTTGGAAATACCGATTCCAAATAAATTCTACCAAAGGTAATTCTACTCTCAAGGTTCTGTTAAAAGATTCTTCAGGTTTTGTAATAAATAGATGTTGGCTCCCAATCCCGATACCAATGAGGAGCAATGAATTTTAAAATTCATGTTTTTATGAAACCTTACATTATATTCCGATTGCAAATTTTAAGTATTTATGTGAAGCGAAAGATCTCTACATGGCTTTTTCAGTGCATTGAGATATAAGTAATTATCACTAAACCGAGAGTTTACCTCACTCAAAACTTTTCAATAATTACATTTGTCTTCCACACATGAGTCACACCTACTCATCATAGATATCGTAAACTCATCAGCCACAGTTTAATCAAACGATTTTTGAGTGTATGTCAAATTGAATCAATTGCCTTTCGCTCTTTCACTCACCACCTAGGAACGCACAGTCCGACTTGACATACTTTCATGCTGCCACTGTCATACGTTTTAGTTGACTACAGAAAATAGAGTATTTGTTTGTTTTTGCGATCTTTTACTTCTTGCATTTTTATCAGTATGAGGTGCAAACATTTAAGTTCACAAATGCACATCTTACAAGCTCACTTATGTAATTTAAGTTTAGCAATTATCAATTTATATAATTAATACGTTACTGACTCACTATGATCGTTTATTTGTTAACAAGGGCACCTAGTATAATAACTTGAGCAAATAAAATGTCCATTATGTCATCATATAATGACACTATTGAGACAGATAAGAAATGAAATAATTATTCATTTCGTAACTTACCAGTTTCGAAAGTTTTCATTGAATCTGTGGGCAGCCACCTGGACCACATCCGTCCTAAAAGTCTTCGGGAAGCTGGATCATCGTGGCCAAGCGATGGAAATACGAACTGAGCTGGAAACGTCTTCCCCAACAAGTCCGTTAGTCTTTGAAGGAGCTCCAATTGCCTCGATTCTGATAAATGCTTGCTCGCAAAGTGACTGAGGCCATCTCTGCAACAATCAATAAAACAAAATCATGGTCGTATTTTTTTAAATGAAATTTTAGGCTAAGTAAGTTGTGGCTGAAATCTATCTGTCATTTTTGGAAATGCAGAGTGTGTTTCAAATTTTAAGCAGTGAAAAATATCCATCAACTCAAAATAAGAAGTATAGTAAACACAAAACTATGCTAAAAGATTCTCAGACGGTAACGCAGATTTCGCTCTGGCCTCGGGCGCTAAACTAATTCCGCCATTTTGTTCAACTTTAATTGTTCGATGGTCCAATTTCTAAACCCTTCGCAACTTTACGTAACTATATTAATTATATCTAATATCTGCGCGAATTATCTCCCAGCTGGATGTCCCAAGCGGGTACGCCGCAATATTCTCTAGTGACGTTGATGAAATATTGTCTAAAATAAATTCAGCTAATGGCCCTTGCACAAAAGTTTCGACATTAGTTATTGTTATTTAACAAGGTCTCGACTGTATCTTTTATGTTTTGCTTTGTCGCATTGTTCTTTAACGCTCCGTATAGCGCTTGGGAAATTTAATGGATTAGCCCCTAATCGTCCATTGACGACCAAAAGAAATAGACCGCTTTATGTCGAGGTCCTGATTCTCCGGTACACGCGGAAATACAAGAAATTCACCTCTAGCACATAATTACAATGCATTAAAAAATATATATATTCTCTTCTCTAAAATACCGAATTTTGCAAGGACGAAGCATGTGTAAAGTGCCACTTTAACACGACAGGTTCATTAACCACTGTCGCGAGCGAACTTCGGAAGTTTCCGGTGCTTTAGTCATATACGGTGTTATGACGATTTAATAAACACAAATATTATGGAAAAAACATGAATAGATAGTTATAGATAGGTCTAAACAAAAACGGTAATTGCTGTATACGATATAGTAAGGTATTCCAAAGAGTTCCGCTTAAAGTAAGGAACCCCACAGAATTTAAACAACTAATTCCAATTATCATCCTTCCTAATCTCTTTATAAAAAATAATTGATAGGCAAATAATCTCTTTTTGGTATATTACCTACCAAACAATTTGGGTTTAGAAAATATTATAGTTGTCGGAGTGCTTTAATCGATGTACTGCAGACATCGGATGAAGGCAGAATTGGTACTCTAATTTTGTTAGATCTTAGCAACGCTTTTGACACGATCAATCAAAAATTTGTTATTTCATTTTTACACTACATTGGGTTTAGTAAACGTACACGCCTGTTTTTAAATTCGTTTTAATCCGACAGAGTTCAACTGGTGTACTGCGTCAACGTTGAGTTAGGTGTACCACAAGGTAGCATATTGGGTCCTTTGTTGTATATAATTTACAGGTTTTACTTTGTAAAGGCTTTAAAATATTGTAATTGTCGCCTGTATGCTTACGATACTCAAATTTACTTTTCTTTTCATGATCATGAAATTACGCAGTCTGAGACACACATTGATTTAAAGAACTTTTATAAAATTGCATCCTATCATCTACTGCACCTAAATTTAACTAAGTCGTCGACACATCGAAAAGTTTAAGATTGATCTTGGACTCTAATTTAAAGTTAATATAGAGTCATAGATATTTTCTTCAAATTGTTACAAAGAAACTACTTTGTGAATCCTTCGTTCTCTCACAGTTCAAGCATTGCTGTGGTGTGTACCTGCCTGGATGCTGCTGACAAATATCGTATCCAGAAAATACAATTTATGGAGTACGCCGGCAAGATCATATTTTTCCATAGGTTTAGGTTACACCGTGCTACATTCTGTTATAAATGTAATTAAGTATAAATCTGAATATCTTAGTAAAATCACTTTCCGTGCAGATGTTCGTGACTTGAATCTATGAAAAAATTTTATATTGAGAACTCCACAACATCAAAAACAAATGTTTAATAGTTTATTTTCTTATAGCATTGCATATACAATAAACAATTTAAGGTTCGATTTCAAAACCGGTATAAAAATATCTCCTTGGAAACCACTCTGCCGTTTACTCTTACCCCCTCCTTTCTATTTGTCCTAAGACTTCTTTCTTTATTGAAAACTATATTTTATGATCAATGTGTTATCAACTCTGCGAACATATTTAATTTTGTTTATTTGATACTTTTTTTGTTCTTATGGAAATTTGGTTTACATTAAACTGAGGCTTGAACAGTGTCTAGCTTTGCTGGATGTCTGCATTTTATTAGACCTTTTGATTGCTTTAAAATTGGTATCATCTAATATTTTTTGAAAATAAATAAGAACTAAAAGTTCAGATTTTCACGAAAATTTATTTTGATAAATGGATTTTCATCAAGTAAAAGCCTCCTCAGTTCAATTAATATTTTTTGGTTTATAATATGTATATTTGGCACAACAATAAATGTATTTTTTATTATTATTATTATTATCATTAAATCGGGAGAATTTTTTGGAACCAGTAAAAAGTTAACACCTTGGTTAGTATCAGACTGATATAATTTAACAGGTGCTTACAAACATTTTGTATTCATTATAGTGGCTCCATTTTGAAATTAATACGGTTACAACAAATAGAAAAACGTTGCTCGGAAAATCCAACAAGGTCATAAAAAATGTTTCTCATCTGAGGTGAAGTCGTAATGCAGCAATATTTCTAGTTACATTGATTACAACTCTAGAAACCGTTGACCGAGATCCATTAAAATGGCAATGGATACATGGCAATGGCTGGTTCTGATTACAAGTCGGCTCCAAAACGAATTACAACATGTGAGCAAGATCCTGTAGAGTATTTTTATACATTCAAAATGTCTTTTCAAATTGGGTATCATTAAGTTCACTAAACAAATCATTGGACTCACTGATTATACGTCTTCTTGGTGGGACCTAGCCATTTTTGAAAACACGAATCCCCAAATTTTATAAGAAAAACGCATAAAATCAAACCCGACAAAACTCATTTTTTTTTTAAATGTTCTATTCATTTCAGTAGATCGGAACCAATTAATAAATTTCTGTTAACAGCTCAATATCAATCGGATAAATTGTGAGATAATTGAACCAACTGGTTTAGGTTGGTTAGTTACAATACCGAAAACTGATTTAACATAGTGCGAAAATTATCAGGGTGATAAATATTTATCAAAGGTTGGTATACACGATCCTGCACATGATTCTATTAAGCTTTTATTTAATAATATTATAAAGGCAGGAGGAAAATTTTCTGTCTTGGCATATGTTACTAAATTTCCAACGTCGAATTAAAACTTTGAAGAAAAAGTTCAAAAAATTCAAAAGAATCTTAATATGCAAAAAATATTCCATCCTTCTATTACCACACTTTTGTGAAACATCATGTATAACTGAAAACATTTTCTCAAATTGTGATAATTAAGGGAGATACAGTACTTTGCCCGACCATTGCGCTAGCCTATATATGTAGGTATTCCAATGAATAAAAGATTCGTTTCCAATTAATTTAACGTCCCGCTGGGAAATGAGAGCTCGTTTAAATTTCTCGTTTGAAATTTACCAATAATTGGAAGTTTATATCGAATAAATGCGTCCCGTAATACCGTGCTTGTAGGAGCGTTTATCAATTTTGATTCCAGCGGCGGCTTTTCATTGCCAAACAGGAGCGAAAAATATAACAAACAATTCATGTCTTAGGGAAGTCAATGAGACGGTTTCACAATTACTTTTCCAAGAGAAGTGTTGAGTGTTGCAAAAAATAAATGTTGGATATATCTGCTATAGATATATGCGGGCTGTCTCAAAATGTTTGCCATACATCGTCATACGTCGTCACAATAACATTAAGCTTATGACAAGTTCACTCTATATATTTATTTAACAACGACAACGATCAAATAGCTTCCAATATCAGGAAAAACACGCACTAACAAACTCTTTTAGGATGACATAAGTATACAAAGTAATCAAGTTTATTAGGATTTTCCGAAAATTTAAGTTTCTAAGTCTATTAAGGGTATTAAGTAGTTCACGTCGAAACTTCGTAGTGCCTTGGCAAAGTGACAAACTTGACTGCCTGAAAGTATAAAGGTTAGAGATATATTACCGAACATTTTTACTATACGACCACTGCGTAAATTTCTTTTTTTTTTGCTTTATATTTTAAGGCAATCGCAAAAACATACATAACTTATGGAAGCAAATAATTTACCAGTAACTAAGCTGCATCAATTATGACTTATGTCTTCTGTGACCGATTTAGTTTTCAATGGAAGAGATGCTGCTACTGATAGATACTACTCTCGACGTTGAATTAAATGTGTGGGAGAAATGAAATGTTTTGTTTATTTTTGTATTAGTTTTCATTGCATTTACATTTTTGTTATTATTGGAATAGGTATGGTCTGTTCATAGATATAAGAAAGCGATTGGGATTATCCAAGGGTGGTCATTAACATACAATGCAACAAGATTATTACCTAAAGTTTCGGAATTTAAATTCAGGTAAAATTGTGGTCCGTAATAGAAAAGAATTTTATTAACCTTTGGTTTGGTATATTACTTAGTTTAAATTTATTCGTAATCATTCTTATTTCGTGTGTAATGCAGCGTGTGTTGAATCGTATGCGAATTATGCAAAATATGTGCGAGTCTAGTGTATCTCAGGAGAAGCTCCCGCCCAAATGTAGAAAACACTATTCTATTGAGACTAAGGAAGTTATAAACAATGTTTATTTGACTCTCATTGAACGTGGTGCCAGCAAGCAAGCATCTTTAGCTGCCACATTGACGAAAATTCCAAGATCAACTGTATGGAAAATTGTGATTCGTGAATTTCAGCGAGGAAAAAAAGAAGCGATGCTGACATTTCCTCGAGTGTAGATGAAAGTGATCAAGATATAATACGGCGTAAAATTTGCCAGTTATACGAGGAACATAGCGTGCTTACATTAGATATCTTAATTAGGAGGCTTGAAAAAAATTAAACCGGTGTTAAATGTGGCAGAACTACCTTATGGAAGTGTACTCAACACATTGGTTTTAGATTAAAAAA